GAGCTGCAGGCCCGATCAGACACAGCACGGGTTAAAAAAAAAAAAGATTTTAGCGGATTGTCAGAAGGATTAACAGGAATATTTTTATTTTTGATGTTTTAAAATTTGGAGCCGCTGATGATGATGCTGCTGCTGCTGGGACTCTGCTGCTCAGGTCTGACTCTCTGTGATTTCATTTTAATAATAAATATAGTAGTTTATATCCTGACCAGGAGACACTCAGCACATTATCCAGTAATGTTATAATAACATAAAACTGTGATTTTAAAGAGTCTGAGTGAGAGCGAATTAAGAGTTTATATAGAAGAAAACACACGCACACACATTAGAAATAATGTTTAAAAAGATACATATAATTATGTCTGTCATGATTTTTATGATTCAGGTGAATATGAAAACAGTTCCTATGTTTAAAGTCTGAGCAGACGGTCCTCGCTAACATACATATTCATCAGCTCATCACCATACAGACGCTGTGTGTGTGTGTGTGTGTTTTGCTCTTGAACTTGAGCTGTAATGAAGAGTCCTCCTCAATGAGTGTGTGTGTGTAAATGTCAGTCTTGTATTGGTGTGAGGACTTGCAGCTGGTCAGTCCTCCACAGTGATGAAGTTTGATTGAATTTAAACTCAATTATGAACTTGAGTCATTCTTGAATTATAAACTATGAACTTGAGTTATACTTGAATTATAAATTATGAACTTTATTTAAACTCACAAACAGACGGAGCTTCATATGAACAGAGGTTTGAATTCTCAGTGAAATGAGGAGAAGGGTTTCACCTGAATTAGTGCCAAACATCAGGGTTTGAAAGTGACTGATGACATTTCCTGATGTTGTTTTTAATGAAGAATTAATTTTTGTTTTTGTCATAAAAAAAAAAAGTTTAAATAAGTTCCCCATGTTAGTCCTTGAGAACAGGACTGAGGGATGAGAACTCATAAACAGATCCAGACTCTGCAGGAACACTGCTTCTGTCCTTGAGAGGTCAGATGTGACCTGGTTGTTGCCTTGAAGAACCTTCTTGTTTTTAAGGGAGTTCCAGGGGTCCTTGAGAAGTTTCCAGGAGTTTTGGAGTTTTAAAAACCCCTATTTATAAAACAGTGTGGATACTGTCAGTGAGTCAGCTGTTCATGGCATCATTACCCAGAATCCCCTGCTGCTCTGCAGATAAAACTTGAAGCTTTAGTGAGATTTTGATCCTTAAGAATTTTTGAATTCCTGGTGACCTATTTGATTTAGTTAGATGTCCTCCTTATTTGTTAATTATGATTGTTGATTATTGACAGACTGATTCATGAAGGACATGATCGGACCTGATGCTTGAGTTTAAATACAGACAAATTAACCACAATGATCACATGACCTGCTGAGAAACAATCATGATTGATGTCAGAGTCAATCAGCTGATTAAAGTGGAGCTGACTCATCAGGTCTAATTAGCCCTAATTCGAGAGAGAGAGAGAGAGAGAGAGAGAGAGAGAGCGAGAGAGAGAGAGAGAGAGTGTGTGTTTTGTTGATGCTCAATAAAAAGTAAATGTAAATAAAACAAAAAAATTAAAGGAGAAACTTGTTTTTATTAATAATCATTTGTGTGTGTGTGTGTGTGTGTGTGTGTGTGTGTGTGTGTGTGTGTCTGCGGGAGGTTCTTGGTTCCCACGGCTGAACCTTCATCCTCGTCATCCTTGTCATCATCATCATCATCATCAGTCTGATCATGTCTGAGTGATGAAGAGTTGCCGCCGCCATCTGTCTGCTCGGAAGGGGGGGGGGGGGGGGGTGATCAAAAAAATCGTGAAGTTCACGGTCAAGTTGGGTGTGCAACAATACACCACAGAGGGAGAGACGGGGAGGGGGCGGAGCTCCGGGACCTAAACTCAGACTCCCATGACCTCCAGGGGCCAAGGTCACTGTCAGATGGGGAGGAGTTAGGGTTCAGGGGATTTTTGGGGGGCAGGTCATAATGGGGTGTGTGTGTGTGGGGTGTGTGTGTGTGTGGGGTGGGGGGGGTGTCTCTGTCTGGTCCAGTGTTTTAGATACCCCCCCCCCCCATCTACCACAAAATAATGAGGACCCAGATGGGAGTCCAGGAATTAATCCTGAACGAGCCGCAGACACAGATCAGAGCAGATCAGATGATCCCAAATGTAAACCTGAGGAGACTTTCAGAGTTTAAAAAAGTTAATTTCAGGACTAAAGTTAGAGTGAAATTAAACACAAGTCAACAGTTCAGATGTTGTCGTGACTATGACAACCTGGATTTTAGTCACTGTCTGGGTGTGGGGGTGAGGTGTTTTTGACGCCCTTCTAGTATAATCCAATGTCCAGTCCAAGGTTGTTGTTGAGTTATAATTTTGACATTTATTGATTAAATGAAAAACAAACAAAATAAGACAAATATGTCCAAATTACTACGATGGTGTGGCTCATGATGAGGGTGAGAGTGCTCTTCCCGTTTCCCAGATCGCTGCTTCACCTGTGTCGCTTTTGTAGTATTTATCTGCCCATTCACCTGAAGCGCTCCTTGTGGTGATTGTGCGAATAACAAAACAAAACCCCAAAAATAATACAGATAAAATGGCTCATACAGATGTGAAATGACACAAAACAACTACACTACACAGAATACAATGGCACAGCAATACCACACACTACACTATGACACAATACAATACTAAATAATAAGACATATTATTATATGTTATAATACAACACAAATTAGATGGTAAAATATAATAATACATGATGTGACAGGATACATTATGACACAACACAACATAACATGATACAGCATAATAATAATTATAATAATAAACTTTATTTGTATAGCACCTTTCTAGAACAGTTGTCGCAATGTGCTTCACAGTCGACAATTAGATATGATGTGACTCAGTATGATATAACATGGTGATACTATAGATGATAATAAAGCAAAACTTTACAGCACAATATGACATGATACTACATTAAAGGATATGATACAAAAAGAAACCATATAACCTAATATAATATAATGTAACCCAGTGCAATGACAATAATACAAGATAACAGGACTGGATATGAAATGTTATGATGTAATACAACACCGTACTACATGATAAGATATATTGTTATATGTTATAATACAGCAAAATCATATGAGACACAACATGATACCATTCAGTGAATTAAGAAATGACACAACACAAGACATCATGGCTAGTACACAATACAACAGGATACGGCGTGGCAAGATATGAGAGGATATGACATCATTGAGCATGATACAATATGATAGGTTACTACTTAGAGACAGTGTGATCTCATATGATACAATGAGACACCATGCGGATTAAAGTTATAATTTCTTCATGTTATGATACAGTCTGACACAGGAGGATATGAGAACAAAACCATAGGATATTATGGGATAGACAACATGAGACAACCATATGAAACATTAGACAACCTAATGAGACATGAGACAACCTACAAGAGACATGAGACAACCTAAAGAGACATGAGACACGAGACTCAAGGAGAAGAGGAGGATCTGGGATCTAGGAGGATCTTTAAAGATCAGTATTTACATGGCAAAGTTGTCCCACTGTGTCAGGTCCAAAGTTCTGGTTCTTTGACTCATAAAGAAGCACCTGGGTCAGGGTTTCTGAGTAAGTCTCCTGGACTTGAGTTCCTGTCCAGAGGTTCCTGTCTTCTCTGCTAAAGGAGGAACTTTCTGCTCCTCAGTCTCCTGCTGAGTTTTTCCTTTAGATTAGAATCAGATCAGATCCCGGGGTAGACTTGTTCAAACTTGGACCCAGACCCCTCAGCAGGTTCCGAAAAGTCTCTGTTAATGTCAGGGTTAGGATGTGGACGTGTGCCTTGGTTCTGGTCCAAAACATCTACCAGGCTTGGCTCAGGTCCTGGTTTAACCGTAGACCAGCCTTTTCTGGTTATGTTGCTGGTCCAGGTTTAGGTTCTGAGGTGTCATGGTGCGTTTAGAGACTCAGTATCAGGAAACCTCTGCGGGGGTCTGAGACCGGGATGAACTTGAACTTGAACCTGAGACTTAAACCAGGAGGAAGAGGAAGAGGAGGAAGAGTGATGGGGATGAAGGTTTTAGAGATGAGCAGCTGCAGCTCGATGAAGACTTTCTCTGTTTGTGGGGGGGTTGTTTTGGGTCTGGGGGGGTCTGTTGTGTCTGCTTCAGACCTTTGTTGAGGTTTTTTTTGTCATTCATACTTGGAGGGGAGGGGATCAGGGTCCAGACATCACGGTGGTCCTCCTGATGGCCGTCGTCTCGTTTCCTCCTACATGAAGGCGAGGAGGAGGAGCTGGGACACACCAGGATGGAGGAGGTTAGGGAATGGAGGTGTGTGTGTGTGTGTGTGTGTGTGTGTGTGTGTGTGTGTGTGTGTGTGTGTGTGTGTGTGTGTGTGTGTGGGGGGGGGGGGTGTCTTGGGGGTGTGGGAAAGTCTGCTGACCAAGTTCAAGTTAAAGGTGAGGGATGAGTTTACGTCTGTGAAATCTGCGCCCTGATCTACAGGGAGGAGGTTCACTTCTATAAACTGTAGGAGTTCCGCAGGGCTCCATCCTTGGACTCCTCCGCCACTTCATTCTTTAGATCAATAACATTGATCAGTGATGTTCTCCTCAGTTTCTACTCCAGACCAGACTCTCTTCCAGTGACACCGTCTTTTAAAAACTATCAGACAAAAACAAATAAAGTGAGTCCAATCACAATTACACATTTGTTTCAAATAAACAAACAAACCTGTCCAATTAGACTAACATATTCTCTCGTCTCTTACACTCCCTTTCATTTTATAATACGTAAAGTAAGTAAGTCATTTTCCTCACATCTACCAATATCAGTTTTCAGTTGTCCAAGTACTTTAATAGTACTTTAATAGTCTGGTACTTCATGTATCAGAGGTATTTAGAGCAGTTCAGCTCTCCGTGCTCTTATATATCTAATCCACCAACATCTCTTAAATGTCTCCGACTGTCGTCTCAGAGCGAATGTCAGTCCATCATATAAATTTCCTGAACAGTTCCTCGCCAGTCTTCCAGTGTCGGTGAGTTGGGTTGTAAACACTTCCTTGTTATCGTCTTCTTTGCTCCAATCAGTAATATCTTCATTAGATATTTGTCTGCTATCACTTGAGTATGCAATGCCATGGTACTGAAATACATTAAGCTGACACTAAATAGTATAGTAATTTGAAATATGTATTCCAGACAATCATGGGGCGGCACAGTGATGTAATGGTTAGCACTGTCGCCTTACAGCAAGAAGGTTATGGGTTTGAATCCGTGTCAGGGTGTTTCTGTGTGGAGTTTGCATGTTCTCCCAAAAACATGCAGAAGTGAGGTGAGGTTAATTGGCCACTTTCAAATTGCCCGTAGGTGTGAATGTGAGCGTGGATGTTGTTGTTGTTCGTCTCTATATGTCAGCCCTGTGATGAACTGGCAACTTGTCCAGGGTGTCCCTCGAGACCCACGAATAAGCGGTAGAAAATGGATGGATGGATGGACAATCATGAATATCATGCCAGTAAGACACAAGTTTCAGACAATCCCAAAATAAATGATAATGTTAGCTGAATCCGGACCGCACATCCTCCAACAACTTGATGTTTCTGCTGAGCCGGTGTTATAAAAAAATCTCATGACGTTTTTCCATCCAAATTCCCGCAAGCTCCTTGAATTTGTGGTTTTCCATTGTAATTTACAGATATCTTCCCATTCTTCCTCAGATATGACCAAATCTCCCTCCCTTTACCGATATTTAATATGAAGGCTGTTGGAATTCCAGGAGTCTTAAAAACTAGATTTTAATTTCTTTCCACTCCCAGACTTATATATTGAGACAAAGATCTTTAGAATAGAACTTGTCAATTGTTTTTAATCGATGTCTTACTTGAAGATATCTGAAAAAGTCTTATTCCTTTTTGAGATTGTCCAAACTCTTCACTGACCCGTTGTCCATGAAGCAGTAATAAACCGTAAGGTCCATTTTCATCCATATTTTAAATCTACTATCTGAGCTATTTGGAGTAAAATCCATGTCATATGTAAACCAATGTAATATGTTTTCTCCACCCTTTAAATCATTGTTTTTCACTGTTTTGCGCTCTCTGGTTTTTAGTGTTGTTTTAATCCAGGGGTTCAGACTAAAGCTTTTTTTTCTGTGGACAAAAACTCTCTCTGTCTTTAAACCCATTAAGGTTCACAGACACTGAGTGACCCAAACCTCCATCTGTTTGTTTAGACTCTCATCCTCTCTGAGAGCAGGAGGGCGGGGTCTCTGACAGAGCTGTTAATCAAACTGGAGCAGGTTTCATGGTTAATGAGGTTCCTCCATCATGATTTAATACTGAACAGAGCAGTTTAATAAACCCTGAGTGCTGACTGAAGGTGGAGCCTAACGAGCTGTAATATCATCCTTAGTTTATAAATAATTTATTATTATTAACACTAAGATATTAAATAATCTGCTGTATTCATCATCTACAGCATCTCCACCCTCATCCTCACCCTCATCCTCATCACCCCATCAGTCAGTGAGTATTTCCTGTTTAAGACAATCAAAAGTTAATAAACACACGCTTGTCTTTTATTTTGAAAGGATTGGTATATAATTTTTTTTCATTTCCTCTTTTCTTTGTCTGATCTCAGAATATATTTATTTCACACTCAGAGGCTGAACTCTTTTTTCCTGAAGTTCAATAGTGATTTTATTTCTTCATCTAAATCAATAATCATCAATGAAAAACTGAACCTGATTAATTAATCAATAAAATCATAAAAACATGAACAAATACACCAACTAAACATGTCCATTAAAATGGTCATGTTTATTATTATAGAAGATGAAATTATTTAGTTTTACTTCTCTAACGTTCATGATTTAAAAAAAAAGGATATTTTCTGTGTTGCCTGTGAGACCAAACTAAGGGCAAACATCTCACTGTGTTTCTGTCTCAGGTGTGTTTGGAGCCTCAGAACTCGCCTTCCTCAAAGAACCTGTTGATGTCATCGCAGTGAGAGACCGCTCCCTGATGCTGGACTGTCAGGTGGAGGGGGAGGGGCCTATTTCTATCACCTGGAGACGAAATGGTGTTCCCGTGGCAATGGGCCCTCGAGCTACAGTGCTGGCTAATGGTACGCTGCTCATCAAGAGCGTCGCCAAGAGGCGAGAAAGCAACGAGACGGACGCCGGGGAGTACGACTGCGCTGTTCAGAACCGCTACGGACGCCTCATCAGCCGCAAGGCCCGCGTGCTTCTTGCCTGTGAGTCATGTGACCTGTGATATCATACATGCACACTGTAACACGTATTGATCACCTGTGCCCTCACCTTTCCTCCAGCCCTCCCTAAGTTCCTGTCTCACCCTGAGTCCATGACAGTCGATGAAGGGGGTGTGGCCAGACTCACCTGTCAGGTAAATGGAATTCCAGAAGCCAGCATCACCTGGCAAAGAGACAGACGCCCACTAAGCACCGAGGATCCCAGGTACAGGTCACCTGTTTCTCATTTAGATTAATCATTATTGAGTTTATGGGTCACATGATCAGTCCAAAGTTGATGAACAGGCTGATCAATAACCACCAAAAATACGACTCGCTCACCTGTCTATGTTCTGTGTATTACACCTGTGCCCCTCCCACTCAGGTACACTCTGCTGCCAAACGGAGTCCTGCAGATCACCAGCGTGCAGCGAGTTGACAGTGGTCTGTTTCGATGTGTCGCCACAAACATCGCCAACACTCGTTACAGTCACGAAGCTCAGCTGTCTGTGACAGGTAAGCCTAAACTCGGGGTAAAATAAGACCAAACTCAGGGTGAAAAAAAAACTGAACACAGGTAAAAAAAAGTACAAACTCAGGGAAAAATAAGACCAAACTCAGGGTAAAACAAGACTAATCTCAGAGTTAAATAAGACGAAGCTCAGGGTAAAATAAGACCAAACTCAGGGTAAAATAGGACCAAACTCAGGGTGAAAAAAAAACTGAACAAAGGTGAAATAAGACCAAACTCAGGGAAAAATAAGACCAAACTCAGGGTAAAACAAGACCAAACTCAGGGTAAAATAAGACTAAACTCATGGAAAAATAAGACCAAACTCAGGGTAAAATAAGACCAAACTCAGGGCTTAAATAAGACCAAACTCAGGGCTAAAATAAGACCGAACTCAGGGTAAAAAAAGACCAGACTTAGGGGAAAATAAGACCAAACTCAGGGCTAAAATAAGACCAAACTCAGAGTAAAATAAGACTAATCTCAGAGTTAAATAAGACCAAACTCAGGGCAAAAATAAGACCAAACTCAGGGTAAAATAAGACAAAACTCATGGGAAAAATAAGACCAAACTCAGGGTAAAATAAGACCAAACTCAGGGCTTAAATAAGACCAAACTCAGGGCTAAAATAAGACCGAACTCAGGGTAAAAAAAGACCAGACTTAGGGGAAAATAAAGTACAAACTCAGGGCTAAAATAAGACCAAACTCAGAGTAAAATAAGACTAATCTCAGAGTTAAATAAGACCAAACCCACGGCTAAAATAAGACCAAACTCAGGGTAAAAAAGACCAGACTTTGGGGAAAATAAGACCAAACCCAGGGCTAAAATAAGACCAAACTCAGGGTAAAATAAGACTAATCTCAAAGTTAAATAAGACCAAACTCAGGGCTAAAATTAGACCAAACTCAGAGTTAAACAAGACCAATTCAGGGTGAAATAAGACCAAACTCAGGACATATCTTTTGTTAACCTGAAAGTTTAAGTGTCTTTGTCCCTTTTTGCTGAAACACTCATGTGGTTCTGGTCCAGGTGCAGGATCTAGGATTTACAAAGAACCCGTCATCCTGTCGGGCCCTCAGAACCTCACCATCAATGTTCACCAGACGGCCATCTTGGAATGTATCGCCACAGGAAACCCTCGACCGATAGTTTCCTGGAGCCGCCTTGGTGAGATCAGCGATTCATCAGTTATTGATGCCAGTTATCTGTCAACAGGGTCACCATGGTAACATGATGCATGTGTATGTGTGTGTGTGTGTGTGTGTGTGTGTGTGTGTGTGTGTCAGATGGGCGGTCCATCGGCGTGGAGGGCATCCAGGTGTTGGGGACAGGTAACCTAATGATCTCTGACGCCACACTGCAGCACTCCGGGGTCTACGTATGTTCGGCAAACCGACCCGGCAGCAGGTCACGGAGAACGGCGCTCGGACGACTCGTAGTGCAAGGTATGCACAAAGTACACACACAGAACTACACACTGAAAATGTTTGTACAGCGAGAGCTGATAGAGCAGAACCATAACAGAACCGAGCCACAGGAACCAGAACCAGGACACAAGTATGGATCAGGGGTTTTCTGTGTGAATGAAGACCGCTGTGATTCCCTGAGTGATCAAACCCAGGTCAGGATCAGAACCAGGACACACAAGAACCTGAACACAGACTCAATAAGAAAGACTCAGCTCAACATAAACACAAAACAGCTGATTCAGATTTATTTTTCTCTGCAGCTGAGTTTCAGATCTCTGACATGTTTCTTTGTTAACAGATGAACTTGAACTCATCATGTTAAGTGTGTGAGTGTGTGCGTGTCCATCTGTCAGCTATGTTTCCTGCCACCGTCTGACTCCTAACCCCCAACCTCTGTCCCCTGACCTGACTGAGCATGTGCCTGTGTGAGGGGGAGGGGCCTGCAGAGACACAGAGAAAGAAACATGAAACCTATTTTTACTGCTTTTTTTAAAATTATAGCTTCTAATAAAATTAATTATAACTTCTAATAATAATAATAATGTTGATAATAATACTAAAACCACTACCACAACTACTACTACTACTACTGCTACTAATAATAATAATAATAATAATAATCATCATCATCATCTTTGTGATTCTTTGAGGACAGCAGATGATCTTTATTGAGCCTGGAGGAGATTTTTTCACCAACACTACAGAGTAAATTAGTAAATTCAGACAGACTCATCAAGAACCAGAGAAATAAATAAAACTTCTGCTGGAGGTCTGAGGGAGGTAAAACATCCTGGACACGGTTCTGTTGGACTGTGAGCTGCAGAGAAACCAGAGTGAAAGAGATAACACAGTAACAGCAGAGAAAATACAAACTGATATTTAGACAGAAATAAAGACCAAATCTAAAGGACTCAGCTCTACGTTTGTTACAGAGGAACCTTTTTAGAGAGCAGGAACCTTCGGGTCCGGACCTGATGTTCAGCTGCAGTCTGTCTGGGAGGATTAAAACTGGAATAATTAGATCCACAGAAGAAGAATCCCCTCTGACCTCGGACCCTAACCTCCAGCCTCATCACAGCAGCCTGCAGCAGGAAGTGATGCGTGCAGACCCCTCCCCCTCCTCCTCCTCAGGGGAACCAGGACCCTCTGGTTATAAGGCAGACGTGGTCCATGTTCCTGTATGGTTTTTGTTTGGTCTTTTGTGCTTTTGTCTCAGTGTGAACCAAACTGGAGAGAAAGAGAGAGAGAGAGAGAGAAGAAGAGGTTAGTAATTCTTCTCCAAAGAGACAAACACAGAAAATGAAAAAATAAACGTTTTTATCAATGATTGAAAAATAAGAGGACCGGCAACAGTGCCATGTGGGACACCACTTTATACATTTAACTTAAAAAGAGACTTTGACTTTGACCCACTGTTTCCACCGTTAAGATGCTTTTATACAAATGAATCAGTGAGATGCTGTAAAAAAAATAAAATAACCGTTAAAAGTGACTGAAACTAGAAATAAAGAAGAAGAGAGCCACACTAACACTAAAACCCTTAGATCATAATAATCAAAACACTAATCAGCTGATCAATTCATATATCAAAATACAATCAACTGATCATCCATAACTCAAATGAGAATAATCAGCTGATTATCAAAAATGTAAACAATAATCAGCAGATCATCAACTACCCAGACATAATCAGCTGACTTTTAAAAGCCCAAACTTAATCAGATCAATAAAAACAACAATAAACTGATCATCAATTATAATCAGCTGATTATAAAAGTCTGAAAAAGTCAGCTGACCTTAAAAAAACAATCAATAATCAGCTGATCATACAAACAACAGCTTTACCCTTTAATGCCTGTTATATACATATACATATATATATGTATATATATATATATATATATGCATTTATAATATTTGTTAGATTTTAAGGACATTTTGATCTTTTTGGATTTCAGTAGTAAGTGAAATAAACATTTCAGCCCAAAAAAATTGACATCTTCTCACCACAATCTTTAGGCATTAAAGGGTTAAACACTCGTCAGCTGATTATCAATACTCTGAACAACAATCAGTTGATGATCAATAACCTAAATTAAGATCTGATCACAGTGATCTAAAACCAGAATCAGCTGATCAGTGAGCGGTCTCCCTCTGATGTCTGGGTATTTGTTTGGTTCCCCCCGCTCTGAGACGGAGAGGTCAGAGGTCATCAGGCTCATTCTGTGTGTGTGTGTGTGTGTGTGTGTGTGTGTGTGTGTGTGTGTGTGTGTGTGTGTGTGTGTGTGTGTGTGCGTGTCTCATTAGAATACAGATTTGCATGTGAAGGGTCCACTTTACAATGAGGACTTTATTCACACTCAGAGTCCGTCTGTCAGACTCAGCAAAACTTCATGAGATTAAAAACTGGAGTCCCCTCAGTCTGAGAGCGAACACTGAGTCTCTACACAAAGAAACACACACACACTAACACACACACACACAAAATCAGCATCATCTTAATTCTGAGCATTATGATAGAGCTCTTTTTTTAATTAAAGGGATAGTTTGTGTATTTCTGTCAAAACTAAGGCTCTTTACCATGTTGGGGGGGGGGGGGGGGGGGTAATAATAAGCTTAAGTCCACCACAGAACCCAGTTTGAGTTGAGAACACTCATACAGGCCTAACAAATTGGACTGTAGGGGTCATTGGCAGTCAAACCTGAACTCATGAACTGACAGTGAACACACCTGGACCAGCAGGTAAACCCCAGGTGATCTGTTCTGCTCTCCAGTTAAAGTGATATTCCGGCATTAAATTAAGGAAGAACATTTATGATCATTTCTTCATGGAAATACAATCCGACCTGAGACGCTAAGGCAGAAGAACTACTGCGTCTGCAGTGAAAATGATTAGTATGGTGATTATTACTTCAAGGAAATGATAAACAAATGATCATAAATGTTCTTCTTTGAGCTGCAGTCTGTAATGTCTGTAATGGACTGGCCTGAGTTCTCGCTACAAACAAGCAGCTGCTGGAAGAGAGCAGGTGAGTTGCGTTTAGTCTCTTTGCTAAAGAAATTAGTCAAAGTTAAAAAGATGTTTGGTGACTAGTGCTATGGCTGGGACCCTATATGTACTGTTGATGAAGTTAGGTGCTGTTCTGAGCATTATTTGTGGCTATAGAGTGGCGTTTTGGTTGAGGCCTGTTTATGGCTCCTCAGACCGCTGTGTATTGCTATCCTGCTGTCGTTACCAAAGTTGGTATAACTAGAGAAGCAAGTGGTCGGCAACATTCATCTCTGGAGGGGGTGTCCAACTTGGTGTTACGGTGTGTTTGACCCTAAATTAATTTTACGCCAGAATATCCCTTTAACCCCCCCCCCCCCCTTCAGTCTGCTGAGTTTCAGTCTTCTTCTGAGTTTTTGCCACTTTGAACACCTGATCAGTGAGCTGCATCAGGAGGGTTTAAGTCCCGGTGTAACAAACACTCAGACTGAGAGCGATGTTCTGGTCAAAGCTGATCCGGTCTGTCCTCTGTTCTGGTCTTCCAGCTGGTTTCTGAACAAAGAGGCTGAACTGGACTGAACCAAACACAGGTCAGGTGAAGAGTGTAAAAGATGTCTCTCAGTATTTCTATTTCTATTTATTTATTTAGCACAGATAAAACGGGAAAGAAGCTAATAAGCTGATACAGAGTTCCTTCAGACCAGCCTTTCTCAAACGTCATTTCACGGTTGTCAGAGATATGGGTTTCGACCTTGTCATGTTGATTTCCTCCCTTATTTGTGGTGCTGTCTTTCGACGATTTCTCTTACTGGTGACAATGCTATGTTTATCCTCTGCTCTTGTAGTAACTCTCTTTCATCCAGGTCTTTTTCTATCATCATAACTTCCAGGTTCCTCTAGTCTCTTCAGAGTGTAGTGGACTCCTTTGTTAAACACCTTTTCGCATTTTGCAGTTTCTCTTTCTGTGTATCCTTCTTTCCTCAATGTACAAATCTGTACTTTTGTTTCTTTACTCAGTTGCTTCTTTCTAGCCATTTTTGCAGTAGTTTGAACGCAGTTGAGATTTATTAGGATTTTTGTATGCAGACACTCAAAAGCCAAAAAGTTAAAGTGAATAATCCAACAGTGATTTGTTTTTTTGCTTTTGCACTGAAGTTGTGACTCTTGCAAATGTTTTCAACTCTAAAACTAAGCCCTTATTATCTTTTGCTGACATATATTTAGCAATGGTCTGTTAACATCAATGTCTAAAGGTAAATGGAGTAAAATGGTGCATTTCCATGAAAGCAACATCTGATCATGGAGTAAATACATCCCAAAATACATAAAACTCATGCTGGATTTTAAAAAAGCAATGTGAGCAAAAACTTGAAGTTTCTCCCAACTGTTCGGCCTGTAATGGCCTTGCTTCCAAACTTTTGGCATGTAGTGTAAGTATACATAAAAAGAAAAGAAACATGAACATAACAGAGAATGATGTGTTTAAGACATGATTAAATGAGATTTTAATTATATTTTAAAGGATTTGAAGGATAATATTGATTTTAGAGATCCATCCAGATCATTTCATAGTTTCGGTTCTCTGAAAGTGATATTAGACTGAAGTTCAACAGAAAGGAAACTGAAGATGGTCATTTTGTCTTGTTGAGTACAGGTGAAGGTCGGATGTAAAGGTTAAAAAGTTTCTGAAGTAGTCAGGAAGGTTTTGTTTGTTATTGATGAACTTAAGGACAAACAAGAGTGAAAGACATTGAGTTTGTCAATCAATAAGATTGAGTATTTAGTAAAGAGAGGTGCAGAAGGTTCATGTCTGCTGGATCAAGATATCATTCTTAAGAATCCGTTCTGGATTAATAAAATTTTCTTGAGGTAAGTTGGATACGTCGCAGACCATACAATATTACAATCATTCATATAAGGAAATAGGAAGCTATAATTCAAAGATAAGTGAGCAGAGGGACTGATCAGGGGACAGACCTTATTGATTATACCGAGGCTCTTCATTTACCTTTTGTAAACACGTCCTGTTAATATCAATTAAGACAGTGACCTCAGTAAAAAACACGATCCTTTCAAAATAAATGACAGATGAGAACCTTTCAAAGTAAAAGACAGCAGTTTACTCTGTGTGTGTGTGTGTGTGTGTGTGTGTGTGTGTGTGTGTGTTTTGCTCTTGAACTTGAGTGTGTTCTCAGAGTGTGTGAAAGGTCTTCTCTCACAAATCAACTTCATTTCTATGTTAATGACCCCCCCACCCCCCGACTGAAAATAAATGTCTCTCTTTCACACACCCCTCCTCCCTGACCCGTGAACTCTGACCCCCCTCTCTGTATAGGAGGGGGTGGTCCTTCAGGGCGTTATTTAGGGTGACAGAGACCCTCATGAGTGTCATGGGGTGTTTGTTGCGGTGGAGACGCAGCAGCCGGAGGCGAGACAGCACCTGTCTGTCTGCTCAGAGAGGGGGGGGGGGGGGGTCGAAGGTCAAAGTGGTGCCCAAACAAAGCGACAAGTTCAAGTTCAGAGAGGAGAGTCAACCATCAGAAACAGACTCAATAAAGTGATGAAAAAGAACAGGGTTGTTAGTTTAAAAGATGAATAAAGTTATTTTATCATTTTTATCAGACATTAAAAACATCATTATCTCTGTTTTTGTTTAATGTGAATCACGACTTTATAAACTCTGATTTAAAATGACGGAAACACTTTATTTATAGAGCACTTTAAATACAACCAAAGCTGACACAAAGTGCTGTACATAATAACATCAAAACATCAAACAACAATAAATAGTTGTTTCAAAATATAATAAAAAGCAATAAAACAAATGCTGTCTCATGCTGGGTCAAAAGCCAAGGAGTAAAAGTGGGTTTTTAGACGGGTTTTATAAATGGACAGTGAGGAAGCTCGTCTAAACACCAGCTTTGCTTTATTTTTATAAGAGCAGCTCTGAAACATGTTTTTATATCGATGATAAAAATATTTTAAAGTTTAATTAAAACCACCACATGTACACAGACTCTGAAAAGTAAAGATTAAATCAGGGATTTGTCATGTTCGAGGGTCTTTTACAGTTTTAGTCCCGCTCTTCAGTCTGTTTGTCTGCTGCCCCCTGCTGGACACTAAGGGCTCTGCAGTAATGACAATGATCCTACCAATGCACTGTACTTGTATTGCAGATACTACAGACACACAACTTCATCGCTGAGGAGGAAAAAGAAGAAATTAAAAGAATTGAAATGAACAAAAATGAATGTTTTTTTAATATATAATTTTTTTTAATGATAAACAGAAAATAGTGTGATATCACTCTTCTCCTTTGCTGAGTGCTGTCACACTCCTGAACTCTGCCTCCTGACATCTGAACCATATTAACACTCATGAACTGAACACACACACACTCACAACCACTGAACCACCACTTACAATTATCTACTATTACCTGCACTTTGTATTCATAAACCAACTTAAACCTTTCAAACCTCAATTGCACTGCTACATCCAATATTGCACTACTGTATAATTTATCTGTCATATAATCATATTTATAGTCTGTTTATAGCCTGTACATACTTATAGTTATAGCATATTCATAACAATGTTATATACTCGTGACATACTCATGTATATATCTCCTGCATACCGTGTACATTTGTAAATATATTCATACTTGCTAAGCACTTCTGGATGGATGCAAACTGCATTTCATTGCTCTGTACTTGTGACATGTGCAATGGCAATAAAGCTGAATTCAATTCTATTCTCTTCTTTTCCTTCCTCCCTGCCATCTCCTCCTCTACCTCTCCTTTCTTCTCTTCTGCTGATATTCCTCCTCTCCTCCTCTACCTCTCCTTTCTCCTCCCTCAGCTCCTCCTGAGTTTGTGCAGTGGCCTCAGTCTGTCTCCAGACCAGCAGGGGGCAGTGCAGTCTTCAGCTGCACGGCATCAGGAGCTCCTGAGCCTCACCTGATCTGGCTGAAGAACGGCAAACTGCTGACGCCGAGTGGCAACGTCAAGCTGACCAACGGGAACACGTAAGACAGCGTTTTTATCGAGTCTGGGAGACGCCTGTATGACTTTAAAACTGTAAACGAGCCAAGGGTCTCTCAGGTCAGATCTGTTACAGGCTCTGGGGCCCCTGAGGGTACTGGTCCCCCTCAGTCCAGGTATCAGTGCTCTCTGTCTCTCCCTGCAGGACTCTGGCCATCACTCGTATCACCCCTGAGGACGAGGCCATCTATCAGTGTATCGCAGAAAACAGCGCCGGGACCAACCAGGCCAGCGCCCGCCTCGCCATCATCCAGGGGTCCGAACTCCCAGAAGCCCCCACCAACCTGAGGGCCATGGCCCTGAGCTCCAGTAGCCTGCAGCTGACCTGGGACCAGCCCACTGAGCCCGCCAGCCAACACATCATCGGATATGTTCTGCACATCCGGCGGCTGGGAGGTAAGAGCAGGAGAGAAAGAAAGGTTTGACCAATCAGAGACCGGCTCGACTCTGACCTCTGACCCCTGACCCCTGTCCCCTAAGAACCCGACAGCGCTGAGCTGCAGGAGGCCGTCAGTAAGACCACCTTCAAACACGAGTTCCTCAACTTGGAGGCTGCAACCACCTACTCCATCCACCTGAAGGCATACTCAGCTCAGGGTGGCAGCCAGCAGTCCGACGCCATCACCGCCACGACGCAGGGCGGCGGTACGTCCACCTCAAATATAAACAGGAAGTCCACCTTCAGCATAGAAGACACAGTCAATCCCCCTTTTAGTCAGCGAACCTTTGGATCTAGTCCACCTTAAACCTGTGTCTGTCTCTGTGTCCCACAGTTCCCAGTCCTCCCAGTTTCTTCACGAAGGTTCTGAACCAGACCGCCATGCAGGTGTACTGGGAGCTGCCTAATAAGCCAGGGGCAGTAGAGGGCTTCAGACTGGAGTACCGCGGGGTCTCAAATCCAGAGGTCCAAGGGCAGGAGATCTTTCCTGCACACATCAACACCCACACCATCTCCCACCTGGGTCAGTCTCTTAAAGGGACAGTACGGGTTTTTACAGAGGGGGCGCCATTAGCGAGACAACAGCTATCTGTCGTCTTTAGAGCAGTGGTGTTAGTTAAGCTGCTGGTTTCCAGTCAGCATAAATCTGTCAGTATGGACTCCTGTAAGGACATTTTGATGCTAACAGTCGCTGTAATTCTCTCTGCAGAGAAAGCGGCTGTTTACGAGATTCAGTTGTTGGCCTTTAACGGTAACGGTGACAGTCCATCAAACCAGCGCCTGGTGTCTCTGGCAGAGGGAGAAACCACCAAACCAGGTGAGAGTTGCTACTTGACCTTTGACTAAGGTGACCAGATTTCTGTAATGAAATCCGGGGACATTCGGTGCAACATTTTTTGTGGCGGAGGGAGAAACCACCAAACCAGGTGAGAGTTGCTACTTGACCTTTGACTAAGGTGACCAGATTTCTGTAATGAAATCCGGGGACATTCGATGCAACATTTTTTGTTCTCATTCATGAAACGCTTAAATCGGTGCCTTTTTTGGGGACAGCTTTTGCTGGGGACAGGTCATCCAATTCGGGGACTGTCCCCGGAAATCTGAGACGTCTAGTCACCTTACCTTTGACCCTTCCATTGAAAGCAGTAGAACCGGTTTAATAGTGTCTCTGTGTGTCCAGCAGCCGGACAGACCTGTAACTGCAATCAGTCTCTGAGCTCAACATCGCCCCTGCTGGTCGGACTCCACAGCAGCCTCGCCTGCATCCTCTGCTGCCTGCTGCTGGTCCTGCTGGGGTACAGACGCAGGTGAGACCTTCGCCATCATTGTCATCACTATCATCATCATCTTCCTCACCTGGTGATGTCAGCAAACTGTGTTTTCAGTCTCTTCTGCAGGAAGAAGACGAGCTGGGAGACTCCTCCCCACCTTAATGGTGTCAGAGGTCATAAAGGTCACCCACCTGAGAGCATGGAGCTGAGTCAGGTAATACACACACACACACACACACACACACACACACACACACACACACACACACACACACACACACACACACACAAATGATTATTATTAAAAACAAGTTTCTCCTTTAATTTTTATTGTTTTATTTACATTTTCTTTTTATTGAGCATCAACAAAAAATGTTTATAGATAAACATATATTTAAGACATCAGTCCAGAAGAAAAAAAAAGGTTTATTAAGTAGAATAAAATATATATATATATATATATATATATATATATATATATATATATATATATATAAACAAAATTAAGCACATACATGAGTTCGCCTACACTGCACAAAACAGGAGGATAAGGTTCACATGAACTTGATCACAATCACAAACACAGGATGGTGCTAAGCTGTTATTAAATTTGAAGTTTACCAAAATTCTTCAACACCAGATCTCAGAAAGAAAAGAGTGTTCATGTTCTATGTCTGCTATCTGTGGTACCAAAATATATTGCTGTGTTGGGTTGAAGATCAATATGCGATGCTTCTGACAACGTTTTAAAGATGGTGGGCCAGTAGGTTGCCAGGGCTGGACATGACCAGAACATCTGTGTGAAATCAGCAGGAGTGTTTTGACACCTGCTGCAGCCTGCATCTGTGTTTGGCTCTATTTTAGCCAGTCTTGCTTAGTGGGTGCGATGTAGAATCTTGAATTGTATGATACTTCATTTGGCAAAGGAGGAGGTACTGTTGTTAACTCTTACTCTCCCAAATCTCCTCTTCCAAGTTCTTCCCCCAGCTTATTCACCCAGTCTGCTCTAATCTTTGCCAGTGTCGTGTTTTTAAAAGAGGTTATATGAACACTGATACTCGCCCTTTAGTCGTGAATGTAGATTTGAACAGATCATCTGAACCAGAAGGTGATGCTATGAACGGGAATTTGGGATCATGATGTTGAAAGAAGTGGTGGACTTGGAAATATCAAAATAAGCTTGACCGAGGGAGGTCAAATTAGTGTGATAAGTCATCAAAGCGTGCAAAAATAGAGTCTACATACATATCCTTGAAATCATGAATGCCTTGTTCTTCTTCAGTTTTTAAAGTTTTTTAGTTGAGTTTTTAAAATGAGAAACAACAAATCCAGTGACGCACAGATCCAACATGCCTCCGTCCAGAACAGCGCCACCATCAGTCATCAATCCATGTTATCAATCAGCTAACATTGTCCCTGTTTGCTCCACCCACAGAGACATGACTCCACCCCTCAACCGGTGAGGGTCATGGTGGAGCAGGATCTACCTGTTCAGCCCGGCACAGGCACCGGATAACCCCCCACACCTCCACCTCCTCCTCCTCCTCCAGCCTGTTAGCTCCTCCTCTCCTCCTGACAGCCTTACAGTCCAGCAGCCTTGATGAATGAGAGAGATTAGAGATTATCTGAGATTAGGATGCGAAGATGATTATGAGTCTGTGTGAGGAACATCAGGAGAGCATCTGAAACCACAGAGGAACCCAAAGAAAAACTGAACCCCTTTAAAGAACCCTCAGATGTCCACAAACGTCAACAATTCATCTTCTTTAGAGCCAAAAGCTGAACTCCTCAGACCCGGTCCGTTCAGAAACATTGGTCACATGGTTCCTCTGTGCGGTCAGATGCCAACATTTCCTTCATCCTTGATGCTTTCTTTGAAAACCAAAACCTTTTTCTTCAGTTTGAGGTCATTTTGAGTTTGTCACCGTCCGTGCCAAGTTTTCTGAGGCCTTCCACCCGTCTGACCGGAGACCGGGTCCTCAGAGGTCTACCTGAGCAGGTGTGGTTCCTCTGAGACCCAGAGCCAAAGGGATGTTTTACTGCTCTGGTCAGCAGGTGTTTGTGGAGGATGCTAGCTCTCCTCTACGCTGCTTTAGCCTTTAGTGTATGTGTGTGTGTCTCACCGAGTTCGCCTCCAGTCAGGAAGGAGAGGAGGTCAACAGTCCGCTGGTCCACCCCTGACCCCTGACCCCTTTTTGTCCTCCTCCACCAAACCCCCTACCTCCAAAGAGAGCTACCTTGGGCTCAATGCCAAACGCCTGAACCGCGGGCGCCATGAGCCTCCTGCTGCTGGCCAACTTAACCTACCTCGAACCAAAAGGCTCCTCAGGAGCTGCTTTGCCGTTTTTCTGCCTTCTTGTACCAATGCTGAAGTCCTGTGCCAAACTGAACCCCCAGAACCCCCAGAGCCCCCAGACTCTGAATGTTGCCTGTACCTCCCAAGATGGATTGGCCCGTCAAGGTCGAGAATGATTATTTGACCCATAACTGATACAAAATCCAACAACTTCCTCCAGAGAGCTGCTGCAGGACCCAAAAACTGTTCCAGATCTGAACTCCCAAAGGATCTGACCCTCTGAACCACTGAGACCTGTTCTGGATCTGGTATAAAGATTCTTAAAACCCCCCAGAGGTGGACCAAATAGTGGACAGAACTGAGTTTTGGACCCCAACAACAGATTGAAGGTCTGAGGGTCCAAAGGCCAACAACCGTCTCTCCTCCTCAAAGTCCGAAGACCCGGTTGCTTTTAAACCAGATCTGGATCCTCTCTGGTCTGAGGATCTGTTGAACAGTTTAGGTCCTCAGGCTTTTTGGAGACGTTGAAAAAAGAAACTTTAATTTGAAAGTGTCAGTCAGAAGCACCTGTCCTGGTCACCATGGAGACGCCTCCACCTGAGAAGAAACTAGGAGGAGCGACGAACAGGTGGACCCTTCTCAGTGTGAGATGTTTCCACTCTTTATGTTTAATGTTTTATTTTGGCAGGGAGCAGTCACTTCCTGTGTAAACTGCCTCTGCAGCCATGATGGAAGTGTCCTCTCATGTCTTCTAATGTCTGAAAGAATGTCCTGAACCTCATGGTAGATGAACAGCAGCTTTCCGTAGATTCAACCAAACTTCCAAAAATTCTTTAAAAAAGACGGAAAAACGTCCAAAGATGAAAAAATAGTTTTTCACATTTCCTGTTTGTTTGTTTTTCACTTCCTGTTTCCAGAGTCGAAGAACAAACAGAACCAAAAGAAACACTAGTTTCAGATTTCAGAAGAAGGTTTTGGAAAGAGAGAGAAGAGAGTCGATATTTTTTAAGCTCTGTTTGTTTCTTTAGAGCCAAATATTATGACCAAAAGCTCGACTGAAACTCTGAAACGACCTAAACCCAAACCCAGAGACACTCTGAGACTGTTTGTGGTTAAATGTCTTTATCGAGTCTGAGTCTGCAGACCGTGACGCACCTGACCCCCCAAACCTTCACAGACCTGGAGACCCTGAGACCCCCTGAAGCTCTTATGACCCGTTCCATTTGGAACTTTTATTTTGAAACAACCACAAACTTTTTCACCCTCTTTGTTTCGGCAAAAAACATCAAGAACTAAAAAAACTTGAACCCAAACTTTGGTCGACTCAGACGAGACACCATCTTTAGCTTGAACATCCAACTTCAGGGAACAACGACCGGACCAGGAGACCCTGAGACCTTAATAACTTTATATAAGAGTTTTTCCTCAAAACTCGACTGAAAAAGTCTGACTGTCTTATAAACAGAATTTAACACAGAAACTCAATTCTGCCAGTTTTAATAAAAGAAAAAAGATTATAAGGATAAAAAGTCATAATTATGAAAAAGACTTCATAAGTTAAAAAGTCTACAGTTTAAAAAATTTGATGGTAGGGATGATGATAACATAAAAAGACGTAAATATGAGATTTAAAGTCCGAAGATTAAGCAGTGAAAATTATGAAAAAGGTCAAAAGTCACAGTAACAAGATTCAAGTCAAAGTCATGAGATATGCTGGAATTATGAGACAAAAGTTAAAATATGAGAAAGTTTACAGGTCTTGACACTTACTTTTTTCACATGTTCTCCTAAGTTAAAAAAGTAAGGAGCACACAAAGAACTTTAGGGGAACAATGAAAATTGATCAATAATGTTTGACTTATTTTCCGACCTTAGTTCTATTATTTGAAATCAATTTAAGGTCTTTTGGTCAGATGACATGGAAGCTATTGAAGGAAAACAGCCTTTTCTGAGAACATCAACCGGTAATTTATTGACGGTCCCTTATTCAACACCCGACGTTAACAGCGAGGGTGCAGAGTAGATTTAACCGCGCTGCTGTTGTTATTCCCGGTTATGGAGAGTGAGAAGACACCGTTACATCCTCAGTGAATGTCTGTCGAATATCCAACCTAAAACTAACTTCACCGCCGTATTTACAGGAAAAAACATTTGTTGATTTTTTTATGCACATGTGACCCTAAATACATTTTATAATTCACACACATCTATTTTTAGTCGTAAATGTGAGTGAAACGGTCGCACTGTCGATTTATCTTTTAATTTATTACTTTCTCATAGTTATGACTTTTTATTTCATGATAGAATATGACTTTCTTATGATTATGATAGTTTCTTATAGTAATGACTCACTATCTCTAAAGTAGACTTTATCTCATTATTTTGATTTTTTTATTAAATAAGTACGACTAACTTTCTCATAATTCAGACTGTCTTTCCCACGATGTTGACCTTTTTTTTTACTAGGCCATGCCCCTTTTTTTAAGTGAGGGTAAAAGACTATCACAGTTCAGTTATTGATTTTTAATCATCTTTACAACAGGTCACTCTTTAAATGCCAATCTTTACGGTGAACTTCTCCTGCTGTCGCTCACAGCCACAGCACCAGAGGGAGGACAGATGGAGAGTCACAGTGATCGTCCAGAACAGTTGGACGCTAAAGTAAGCCAAGCTTTGTACTGAGGTAGCGGTATGAGGCGGTTTTTCAATGTCAAAGTTGTTAATAGAGCAGAGACATCAGATACTGAATGTTTAACAAAGATGGTGTCACAGATTTTATCGTCTGAAGATTGTAAAAAAAAGGACGCTCCGGTGAGGGTTTAAGGTTTCAAAGGTTTCATGGCTGTCTCCTTGAGCCCCTCCCCTTCCTGTCCCAGGGTCAGAGGTCACTGTCACTCAGAGCTCCTGATGTGTTTATACAAAAACAAACTAACATGTATAAATTTAATGTTGCTGTTCTGTTTCTAGAACTTTCTTCTCTCAGCTATTTTTCCGTCGCCGTCGCTCGGCAGCAAAGAGGAAAATCTGCCAAAATGAAAATCTGTGAAGAAGAGAATTTACTATTTTTAAATATTATTGATAATAATATTATGATTATGACCTCTCTGTTTCTCTATTGTTTGAATTTCTGACCCTTTTTGATGGTAGATTATTGACATGAAAATGTTTCTAGAATTGAAAATGCCGTGTTTGCAGCTGGAGGTAACGATTTTTACAGCCATATTTAAATAATAATAATGATAATAAGCCATACATGACAGATAAAAGCCATATTTTACGCAGAAGTTCAGAGTAATTTTATATACTTAAGAAGTGGATTATTGTCAGTTTACACCCAGACGACCTTGCCTGTCGACATGCTGTAGAAACTTAACGTAGAGCTCGTAGAGAGCGAAGGCTAGAACCAATGAGAAAAGCGATGCTTTAATATTTCTGATTTCTTTTCTCTCCAAATGTTTTTATTTTCATTCATGTGTCATTTAAAAAAAGCGACTTAAAGCTTTAAACAGAGCGGACAGAAGACGAGGCAGAAACATGAAACAGTTTTTAAAGACGGTTCAGTCTCAAACTCTGAACTTTTGAAGTTTGAGGTTTTGTTGTTGAATTCTTTCTTCTTCCTCAGAGGATGAACCTTTTCTTCTTCTTCTTCTTCTGTGTTTGTTCATGATTCTGGTTCTGTTCTGTCTGTTCTCCTCTCTGATGTTTAGACACATAAAAACCAAATAAACTGAATTAAAGTAGAAAACTCAGTCTCCTTCCTTTTTCTGACACTCTTCAAACAATCAGACTCTAACTTTTATTTTCAGCAGCAGCTCTGTCCGTGTGTCACATTGGGTTATATCATAAAACAAACATACTTTTGTTTTTAATCCTATTAAACATTCACTTTTAAAATTCACAATTAAACAAATCACAAAATTTCGATGCGATTTATCACAGAATTTTGACACGGTTAATCGGGATTAATCGCATCTGTAAATTCAATAATTACATAAAGAAAAATAGTTTGTGTAATGATTGAATTTTAGATTTCTTATTATTAAAATAAATTCTACAGTGTTTTATCAAAAAGGTCTGAAGGTCTCATGATGCAAAGAGTAGAGAGGTTTAAAGTTCAGATGCAAAATATTTGATATTTGTTGGTTTCTGACAAGGCAATATTTTCAAACTCAGTTTGGTTATATATATATATATATATATATATACTGTGTATATATATATATATATATATATATATATATATATATATAAATTAATTAAAAAATATATTTTTAATTTATGCATGTATACATACATATTTATTTTTATATATACATTTTTTTTTTCTCGTATAAGTTTCTCATGTTGTTTTAAACTCACAGAACAAACACTTTACTATTAATGAAAGGTTTATTCTCTTTAGTAAATGTATAAATACAGTAATGTGTCCTCCATCTGCGCTTCTGTTAACGAATGAATGAACAATTTTTCATCCTTTTACATACATGGTTTATTTTATCACTTTAAAGGATCACATGGTTAAACATACAGAAAAATGCAGGAGTGCACGTACAAAATCACTGTCAAGACAGTGTGCAGTTATTCTTGGATAACTGGATTATTTACTGACATACAGGGATCTCCGGTTAATTTAAGAGCATTTTCACTTTTTTCTGGAGTTCCAGTTTTGCTGTTTTCTCCATTTCATTCAGGTCCTGCATGTGTGAAGAGACGGATCCCCAAGACAATAAGACATGTCAGGACGTGCTAACCTGAGGTCGTCCTTTAGGTCTGAGGGATCCCTGGTTAATGCAACATTATTTGCACTTTCTAGGATTTCCAGTCTGGTTGCTTTCTGTTTCATAAAGATCCTGAATGTGTGAAGATACTGTTTCCCACAGACATGAAGATATATGAGGACGTTTCCAGGTCTGTTTATTTAGGTCGAGCTGCAGAGATCATCAGATTTCAGAAAAATAAAAACAGATCCATAATATATTTAAAAAAATGCTCCGAACTGGATCATAATAACAACATTTGAGTCCAGAACCAGCTGACAGACCCGGTCCTGATCCGCCTGTAACTGATCCAGTCCAAGTTTTCAATGTAACATCACTTTGTGCTCTGATTGGATGGTCAGTCTACTGCAGGCTGCTGATTGGTGGGAGGCTCTGACCCCTTGCTGTGAGGCCTTGCTGATAGGTGGTCAGGAGAGCGAGGTGGGGTGTCTATCCTGGTGCGGCGGCAGCAGGCGGCGAGGTCGGCCCTGAAGGAGGGCGTGTAGAAGCCGTAGATGACGGGGTCACAGCAGGTGTTCAGGTTTCCAAACAGGAAGAGGGCATGGTGGACGCACTCAGGTGTGACCTGCAGCATATCAGGGTGGAACCAGTACCAGATCCCCAACAGGTAGTACGGTGTCCAGCAGACCACGAAGGACAGCACGATGACCACGGTCATCTTCAGCGTCTTCATCCGAGCCTTTGGGATGATGTCAGTGCCACTGCGCCTCAGGTACGACTCACCTGCTGAAAGAGGGAGGGGCTATGTTAGTTATGTCACAATGTCAGGAAATAAAGGGTGAAGTTGGTGGTTCAGGTGTGTCACAGGTGTGTGTTTTTACAGGTGTGTCACATGTTTACAGTCAGATACAAGTGTGCTGCAGGTGTGAAGGTGTGTTCACATTTCTTACACGTCGATGCAGTGTTACCTGTTATCCTTGTATGTGTATGCAGCAGGATGTTTCAGGTGTGTTTCAGGTGTGTTACCTCTGTCCCTCAGGTGCTGCAGATGTTTCAAGTGTGTTTCAGGTGTGTTACCTCTGTCCCTCAGGTGCTGCAGGTGTATGTGCAGCAGGATGCGGCTGTAGCAGCAGCTCATGACCAGCAGGGGGAGGATGTAGAGCGTGGTGAAGTGGAACATGTTGAACATGGTTTCCTGCCAGCGGTGACTGAAGCTGCCATGAGTGGCACACTGGGTGAAGTTGACGCCCTCCACCTGGACCGCCCTGAAGATCAGGAGCTGCAGGAGGACAGGTGGAGGGTCAGAGGAAGCTCAGGTGGAGTTCTGGGATTAAACATCATGTATTTAGTATCACAGCACCTCAGTATGAGGTTCTGATGGTTCAGGTTCTCGCTCCTGAGCCTGGTTTTGGTCTGGTCTCCTAAGGTGATCCTTCTAACTGCCTGTTTCTGCTTAGCATCCTCTTAGCATTGTTAGCATTCCTGATAGAAACTAAAGGGAGGTGTTAGCCGGAGCAAACAGCAGGAGGCGACTTTAATTCGAAACATTCCTGCAGGGATTTCATGTTCAGGAGGATTTGAGTTCAGGTTCAGACTGAAACAGAAAACTGTGAACCTGCAGCAGGAGGACTTTATCTCAGGGATTCTGACCCTCAGCACAGATGAGAAGTGATGATAAAGTTAAATCATGTGAACAGCTCTGCCCTCAGACTGAGGTGATCACAGCTCCTCAGTTTGACCTCCAGGTTTCCTTCAGAGCTGCTCAGATGAGCTCAGCATTAATATTCATTTATAACAGTGTGATGTAAAGATGTTATCTGCAGCAGCTTCATGAAATATTCAGCAGGAAAAGATGGAGAAGAGGAAACATGAATAATAAGTGTTCTGATCAGAGAGCAGGAGCTGAGGAACAGACAGAGGCAGCCAATCACAGTTCACAGTCTGTAGGCGTGTTTAGTAGATTTATATCACAGTCAGTATGAGTGGAGTTTACTCACTACTTCAGGTGTAATTCAGGCTCCTCCCCCTTTTCTTAAATCTAGTACAGAGTTTAAAATCCTCAAACTGATCTACAAAACAGTCAGACAACAGAGCTGCCGAGCGTCACGCTTTGAGTTTGACTGTCACGCAATTTGACCCATTCTTACACCACACACCACACTTGACATTTCTCACGCTTATATTTCCTCGTTCAATACTCTGTATTGATTTTTTTCGTGATAATAAACTTGGCTAGCCGTAGTTTAAGTAACTCTGATTGACGGACCAATCCCAGAACAATCCATTAGTCCTTTATGCCTAAATCTAACCAACCACAGAAGGCACCACGCAATATAAACCAATCAGCATTAATGTTGCGTTCAAGTTACCTCAGAAGTCAGATGTCGTAGTTGAAAATGACGTCACACCTGAGTTCCCAGCGTTTCAGTTACCAAGTCGGAGAAAAGCAAGTTCGGAGGCCTGAAACAAGGTGGCTACATCTACCAAAGTTACTTTAGCGCTTGCGGACAAGGAAGGCGCTAGTATAACTTTCGTAGATGTAGCCATCTTGTTTTGGGCCTCCGATTCTGCTTTTTTCCGACTTGGCAACTGAAACGCTGAGTTTTTTCTTCAGCGTGACCCTCCTGGCGGCTTTGACTAATACTTAGGATGCGTCCATCTCCATGACAGCAGGATAGGCTTTCTCTACCGCTCTGGCCTGGAGTTTTTGGTCCACGTTGTTGGCGACTTTGTTGTGCAATGCGCATGTGCGAACAGTAGAAAGGCACCGTGGGAAATGGGGACATCAATAACCCGACAATGAAAAATAGATTTATTTTTTTGTTTTCGTTTCCTTCTCTATTATGTATTCTGTTTTGAACTGAAAATACGAAAACAAACACTAATCTTTTAATTTTTTGGTTATACAGAAAAACAAATAAACAAAATATTGACTATTTTTTTTTCGTTTTTCATTTACTAGATTGAATGGAATAATTGAATGGACGGATAATACATGGACCTGGGAGGCAGACATGCTCTCAACTCCATGAAACATGATGACTGTTACCTGTGCTGGTGTTTACCTGTGGTGATGCGAGCAGCAGGCTAAGACTCCAGGCCATCAGCAGCATGCGTCTGTTCCTGCAGTGTGCGCTCAGAGCGTCCAGTGGGTGCAGGATGGCGTGCTGGCGGTCGAGGCTGATGACCACAAGGATGAAGGTGGCGGCATACATGGCGAACAGCTTCAGGAAGCAGAGCAGCTTACAGAGGGCGTCTCCTCCATACCACTGCACTGTGATGTTCCACACGGCGTCCAGAGGCATCACCACAAAGGTCATCATCAGGTCAGCTGACGCCAGGCTCAGCATTAGCGGCCGGAGATGAGATGCCAGCCGCCGACCACGCCCACACCACACACTGACTAATAGGGCCAGGTTACTGCTGGCGGCAAACAGGAAGAGGACGAAGGTGGCGCCGACACGGAACTGAGCGGCACGGGTGAAGCTGGGAGCTTCCCAGTCTGAGAAGGGGGGATACTGGGAAGTGTTGGAATTGGGTGGGGTTATAGCGCTAGTGGGTGGGGTTAGTGTTGATAGTCTCAGGAAGGACCAGTTACCTGACATCCTGTAGAGCAGAAGACAAAATATCTATAGAATATTACCATGAAACATTCAGTCCCGCCCTTATTTAGACTTCCTGTGTGCACCTGAAACTCCCTTCAAAATAAAAGCAGATAAAAGCCCTTTCACTAGAATATCAACAAAGTTTCAGGTTTTGTATTGATTAATCAGACACACACACACACACACACACACACACACACCCTGAGGTCAGGTTTCTGTGCAGAGCTATCACAGTTTATTTCTGGAGGCAGTGTGAGTGTGGTCTTGGTGTCACCTTGGCAACCACTCTCTCTTTTTCTCTACAGGGTGTCAGTTCTCCCATCTTCTCCTGGATCAATAATTTCATAAAACACACACACACACACACACACACACACACACACACACACACACTAACACACACACAAACATACCACAAGTCTCTGCAGCAGATGCTTCAAAAGAATCAAGCACATTGATTAAACTGAAAAAAAAAAGTTAAACAGATGGTAATCAGCTGATGAAAGCCATTGTTGGTCACTGGTGGTCATCATTTGTCATTGTTGGTCACTGAAGATCATTGCTGTCATCCCTGTCATCTTTGGTCATCGTTGGTCATTGTTGGTTATTGTTAGTAATTGTTGGTCATTGTTGTCATCGTTGGTTATCATTGGTCATTGTTGGTCATTGTTGTCATCATTGCTATTGTTGGTCATTGTTGGTTATCGTTGGTCATTGTTGGTTATCGTTGGTCATTGTTGTCATCGTTAGTCATCGTTGGTCATTGTTGGTTATTGTTAGTCATTGTTGGTCATTGTTGTCATCGTTGGTTATCATTGGTCATTGTTGTCATCGTTGGTTATCGTTGGTCATTGTTGTCATCATTGGTTATTGTTGGTCATTGTTGGTTATCGTTGGTCATTGTTGTCACCGTTAGTCATCGTTGGTCATTGTTGGTTATTGTTAGTCATTGTTGGTCATTGTTGTCATCGTTGGTTATCATTGGTCATTGTTGTCATTGTTGGTTATCATTGGTCATTGTTGTCATCGTTAGTCATCGTTGGTCGTTATTGGTTATCATTGGTTATTGTTGGTTATTGTTAGTCATTGTTGGTCATTGTTGTCATTGTTTCCATCACTGGTCATTGTTGGTCATTGTTTGTCATTGTTGTTATTGTTGTCATTGTTTCCATCACTGGTCATTGTTGATCACTGTTGGTCAGGTGTATCTCTAACCTTCTTCTGTGTTCTTTGACAGATACAAAGATGGTGATTGTACAGTTTCCGCCTGTGGAGCACAGACACCCTCTGATACAGAAGACCCTGTTCATCACCTGCTGCAGCCTTTAATGGTTGTTATTCACAGATATATTTTTGACATTTTACACATATAAAGATATCTGTAGTTTTTTTTTTTTGTATGGCCCCCTTCAGGAAAGTCACTTATGAGTTAAAATTAAGTTATTATGTTTTAGTTATTGAACAGTCTAGATAAGTCTAAATATTGATCCAGATTGATTGATCATTTTTAAACACAACTGAACGTTTAAAAAAGCAGAGCGCTGTTTCTGTGAGGCTCTTGTTGTGAAAGAATCTGTGAATTTACCTGATCAGCAGCTCTGGATGGTCCTCATGTTCTCTGCCCAGGATCCAACACAGGTCCTCAGATATCCACAGAGACCCCCATAGGTCCTCAGAGTTGACGAAGATCCTCAAAGATCCCTGAAGTACCCTGAATCAAAAAAAAAAATGGTTCTGGTTCGATCCTGAGAAGTCCAGGTCTGTTTGCTGCAGCAGCTCCTTGAAGACTGAGGAGAAACCTGCAGAGCTCCGAGCAGGGGGAGGAGCTCCAAGTGTGTGTGTTTGTGTGTGTGTGTGTGTATGTGTGTGTTTCACTGTGTGTTTCATTGTATGTGTTTCACTGATTTCTGCCACTGATTCCAGATCAGATCTGAAGCTGAATGAACCTTTTTTCCCTCTTTTTGTCTCACAGTAAAGCTGATCAAGGATGTAATTTATTGATCAACATTTTAATTGATCAGTAAAGTAAAAAAAAACTAGTTTGGCTTCATTAGTGGGTTATTTGTTTATTTTACAACATTTATTCTTTAAAACCTAAAGTTTTAAAATCATCTGAGCAGGATTAAAATCCTCAGTTGTAGTAAACCTGCCGTCACAATAATTGTAATAATAGTTTTATAAATATTTGATTAACTGACAAATAAACTCCACAGAATCAGTACAAATCAAAGGATTTATTAAGATGTTGTTATGGACATTAGAATTCTCCACAGGACTTCCAGACTTGTATTTCACAATAAAAGCCTGATAAAGTAGTAAAAGAAAGAAGCTTTAATTCAGAGCAAACCTTCAAAATAAAATAAAAATCATCAAGTCACATATTCTGTAGAGTCCACTTCTTCCTGTTTGCAGTGTTTCCATGGAAACCAAAGTCAGAATATGATCAGTCACAGCATCAGGTGAGTCTACATCACTGAACAGAACCGAGATCTCCAGCTGTCCAAGAGGGGCGTGGCCTCTGTGGTGTCACCTGGGAGAGAGGGTGGCGCTTGTGTCTCCTGGACTAATGAAGTTTCACTGAAATGAAAACAAATTGGTGAGTTTGTAACCAGATCATCCGACCTGTGGAAACACTGCGGTGACGTGTTTTCAAAGCCCCGCCCCCTGACGGTCCAGAATGACAGACAGCCAATCACAGCTCAGCTCACATATAGGTTTTATGAATTTAATTGATAATTTTTTATATCTGTTTAATAAAACTTTGTGTGATTGATTGACAGGTGTCACTTACCTGTAAGTGGGCGGGTTCTCTCTTTCTGACCACAGCTCACCTGGAAACACAAACGCAGGTACGTCACGCCTTCACCTCGTGACCTTAGAGCTGATTACTGTCACAGTACATGTGGTTACTCACCGTCCTGCGGTGGCTCCTTCTGCTCTGAGCTGGAATCAGAAACAAACTGTCAAAGCTGGAAGGTTCTCAACCTGAGGCTCTCGGCCCTGCAGAGGTCTGTGTGTTACCTGTGAGGTCCAGGTACCACGCTCATGTAGTCAGGTGCAGACCCAGAACCCCCTGCTGTGTCCTGTCTGCCTGTGGTACCTCGATCTGTGGGCAGAACGGGATGCTGGGAAATTTACTGTGTTGTAATCTCACAGAGTGAAGTGTGTGATATTTGTCACGAAAAGACTGACTTGGCCCCTCCCCTCTGTGGTGGTCTAATATCTGATTGGACATTTGGCCTGGACTTCGTGTGACATCATTCTTCCTCCTGACAGGTGGTTGGCAAGGGTTTGGTCTGAGTGGGTGCGGCCTCTGTGTGAAGTGATCCTGCAGGACTGCAGTCAGACGGTCTACAAGGCGGTCTCGCAGACCCCCAGAGGATTCCTGGGAGAAAAAATCGAAAACCTGAGACTGAAAATATCAGGTGAGTCAGAACCGTGACCTCTGACCTCTGACAGAAACACTCAGGTGTTTGGAGTTACCCGTAGATATCTATAAGAAAGGCTAGATAACTCAAGGCGGAGTCACCGGCGTCCGTACACGGCGGCCATCTTACTCCAGTATACCATTCTGGTACGCTCTATGGTAGCTGAAGGGAGGTGAGTAATCTACATGATCAAAAATATTCTTAACTCGCTGAAATCTTGACAGATTCACAAATGGTTTTGTTTATTACAGACCTTAATAATGTGGCTATGAGTCGGGATGCTTGGACATATTAAAATGACAGATTTACTTTGAGAGAAAAAAAAGACTTAATCATGAAGCACAGTTGTTTCATGGCTATTTGCGTGCAAGGGCTAACTCTGAGTCGCTTTGTCAAGGCTGAGGCCACAATCCAGATTTTAATTTCTTGCATGGCAGCCTATTTTTTATTTAGTCTAAGTGTCAGTCTTTGTGGATGTTCTTGTGTTTATCAGCTGTCTAACTTGGCTAACAAACCTGCTGTGAGTGAGACCAAGTACATATTACAAAGTTGACCCAGTAATTTTATATCAGTTAAAGAGGCAGAAATGCTCTTTTGATTCAACATAACTTAAGTTGCACATTATTTCCAAACTGTTTGGTTTGTTAAAAACATCTAAAATGGAAACATGAGGCAGAAATTTATATTGAAAATAAACACATATATGTTATTGTTATATGTTATTATGTTATCCCTATGATAGACACATTACTAATATAACATACATGAAATGATTAAATGTTTTATATATAAATGATTTAATAAAACTGCCTTGTGTGTGTAGGCCTATAGCTATTGCTCTACCTATCTGCTTAATGTTTATTTATGTAAATCCATGCTTAAAATTATTCTTGAGTATGCAGGAACACAGCTAAAACTCTGAGGTTTGTTACAAACCAAACCGTTTGAAAATCAGTTTAAAATTAATCAATCTATGGTTATTTAAATGCTACATGAACCGTAGACTGGAATGTTAGGAGTGGGCGAGCTACCTGAAGCAAGATGGCCTTTATGCACAGACGTCGGTCTCCATTGGCTAACAGCGTGTGTAAAATATCTAGCGTTTAAATATATATATATATATATATATATATATATATATATATATATATACAGTGTATATATATATGAAGTTACCTGGCAGTTAGTGAGCGCGCTCAGAGCTTGTTTGTAGAGCTGAACAGCTTTTTGCTTCTTCCTCTGCCTCAGGTAACACTCTGCCAACGACTCACACAACTGGACCTCAGCAAGGTAGTTCTCTGCAGACGGAGAGAGAGAGAGAGAGAGAGAGAGAGAAAGAGAGAGAGAGAGAGAGAGAGAGAGAGAGAGAGAGAGAGAGAGAGAGACAGAGAGAGACAGAGAGGGAGAGAGAGAGAAAGGGTTTCAGCTCTTAGTCTCTCCATGAATCTTATCTCTGCTGCAGATGAACCTGATTTTGTCAGTCTGAGCGGAGCAGCAAACATGATGTAAGATAAGATGTTCCTTTAAAGGGATATTCTGGTGTAAAATTAATTTAGGTTCAAACACACCCAAACACCAAGTTAGACACCCCCCAGAGATGAATGTTGCCAACCGCTTGCTTCTCTAGTTATACCAACTTTAGTAACGACCGCACATACCAATACACAGCGGTCTGAGGAGCCATAAACATACCTCAACCAAAACACCACTCTATAGCCACAAATAATGCTCAGAACAGCACCTAACTTCATCAACAGGACATATAGGGTCCCAGCCATAGTACTAGCCACCAAACATCTTTTTAATTGGACTAATTTCTTTAGCAAAGAGACTAACTACAACTCACGTACTCTCTTCCAGCAGACACTTGTTTGTAGTGAGACCTCAGGCCAGTCCATTGGGGACTACATCGGCGTGACGCAGCTCAACGAAGAACATTTATGATCATTTCTTCACGGAAATACAATCAGACTGAGACGCAAAGGCAGAACAACTACGGCGTCTGCAGAGCAAAATTATTGATATGATGATTATTACTTCAAGGAAATTATAAAGTAATGATCATAAATGTTCCTCCTTGAGCTGCGTCACCCCACTCTAGTCCGTAATGGACTGGCCTGAGGTCTCACTACAAACAAGCGGCTGCTGGAAGAGAGTATGGCTCCTCAGACCACTGTGTATTGCTGTCCTGCAGTCGTTACTAAAGTTTGTATAACTAGAGAAGCAAGCGGTCTGCAACATTCATATCTGGAGGGGGTGTCTAACACGTTGTTACGATGTGTTTGACCTTAAATTAATTTTACGCCGGAATATCCCTTTAATGACACACAGGGGTAAATTCCAAATGTGATGAAAAGTTTAGATTCACTCTCATTAATTCAAAATTGCTCTAAAACAGAAAATGGTGATAACCATGAATAAATGTGTCACAGTCAGAGAGGAGACCTGTGTCTCTGAATCCCTGCAGAGCGAGGATGAAGCTCTCTGCTGCCTCCTCATCATCACCCAGCTGACTACAGGCAATCCCCAGGTTACTGAAACACTGAGCTTGATCGCCACGGCAACCAAGGGAGCCTGCACATACACACAAAAACACAGATGTGTCCAGGAATGTGAATTAACGTGGCCAACATGATGATTATTGATTGACAGGTGATGGGATGATTGACAGCTGACTCACCGTACAGTCCAGCAGCCAGTCTGTGGTAGGGGACGGCAGGTGAGAACCAGCCCTCCGAGTTCAGGGCGGCTCCCAGGTTGTGCAGAACTTTGGCCAGCAGGGGGGGCTGCTGAGCTGCTGGACCCAGGGCCTGGTGGAAACACTGCACCGCCTCCTGGAAACACCTGATCCGGCAGTAAGACACACCCACTGACAGGTACAACTCACCTGTATTTAAAAAGCCTTCATTAAAACAATGTTGTTATTTTGACATTAACACAGAAACATCTGCTCTGTGATTACCCAGAATCCTCGGGTCAGTGACGTTGTCCGTCAGACTCAGGCATTCGGTCAGAACCCTGATGATGTCATCCTGGCTGAACTGATCTGATTGGATCATGTGACTTCCTGCCTTTTTGAGTGCAGCCGCTGCAGAATCCAACATGGCTACCAATTTGTAACTTTCTGCAGCTCGCAGGCAACCGTGAACCGCCTGAGACCAGTCCTACACACACACACACACACACACACACATACAGACTGCTGTTATGATGCACCTGTTCACAAACAAACTGACTGCTATTAAAAGAACAATAAGATACAAGTGAGAGAAGTTACAGAGACTATAAATGTGGTTCTGACTATAGTTCTGGTTCTGGCTATAGTTCTTGGTTCTGACTGTAGTTCTGGTTCTGACTATAGTTCTTGGTTCTGACTTTAGCTCTGGTTCTGACTATGGGTCTGGGTCTGACTGTAGTTCTGGTTCTGGCTGTAGTTCTTGGTTCTGACTATAGTTCTTGGTTCTGACTGTAGTTCTTGGTTCTTACGGTAGTTTGGCTCTGACTACAGTTCTTGGTTCTGACTGTAGTTCTGGTTCTGGCTCTAGTTTTTGGTTCTGACTGTAGTTCTGGTTCTGACCCGTGTCTGGCTGTAGCAGCGGCTCAGCTCCACGCAGGCGTCGCCCTCGTTCTTCCCGTCTCCCTGTGACCTGTACAGCTGAGCAGCCTGCAGGAAGTAGGTGGCGGCCTCTCTGCTCTGCCCCAGTGCATTGTGGGCCAGGCCCAGGTTAAACTGTAGGTCTGGGAGGCAGTCGGCCTTTGGACCGGGCTGAGCCTGATGCAGGATATCCAGACCTTTCTTCGGTTGCCCCGCCTCCACGTATGCAGCACCCAAGTTAAAGGAGCAGGCGCGTAGGACTCTCCTGTCCTCCAGCTGTGGAGCAGAGCATGATGGGAAATCGACCACCATAAAAACACGACAGCCAATCCTGACAACCCCTGTGACCTTTGAGCTCACCTGCTGAGCAGCCTGTAGCGCAGTGTTAAAGCAGCTCACGGCGTCTCGGCTCCGCCCCTCCTGCAGAGCTCTGTGACCGGCTGATGTCAACTCCTCAATGTCTTCTGCCTGAACCTTCTTCTTCCTCACCTCCCTACTCTTCCTCCTCCTCCTCACCTTCTCCTCTTCCTCACATGGAGGAGAAACATCAGAAGCCATCATGGAGGAGCAGGATTCACCTAAACACCTGGAAAAAACAACAACAATCATAAAAATCTGAGCCAACAACAACAACAATCACTATAATCTGAAACAACAACAATAATCTTAATAATGTAAAAAACAGCAACAATCATAAGAATATGAAACAACAACAACAACAATCATAATAATATGAAACAACAACAATCATAATAATATGAAACCACAACAAAAATTAATCATAATAATCTGAAACTAAAACAATCATAATAATCTGAAACAACAATCATAACATTCTGAAACAACAACAATCATAATAATCTGAAACAACAACAGCAACAATAATCGAAGAAATCTGTAACAACAAAAAACAATCATAATAATCTGAAACATCAACAACAACAATCATAATAATCTGAAACAACAACAAAGACAATAACCATAATAGTCTGAAACAACAACAAAAAAACATAAAATTTTGAAACAATAACGAAAAACAATCATAATATTTTGAAACAACAACACAATAATGATAATAATCTGAAACAACAACAAAAAACAATCATTATAATCTGAAACAACAACAGCAAAAATCATAATAATCTGAAACAACGACAAAGACAATAACCATAATAGTCTGAAACAACAACAAAAAAACATAAAATTTTGAAACAATAACGAAAAACAATCATAATATTTTGAAACAACACAATAATGATAATAATCTGAAACAACAACAAAAAACAATCATTATAATCTGAAACACAACAACAGCAAAAATCATAATAATCTGAAACAAAAAAACAATTATAATCTGAAACAACAATAAGAACAACAGTTATCATAAAAATCTGAAATGACAAAACAATAATCATAATAATCTGAAACATTAACACAACACATAATTACCTAAAACAACAACAACAATAATCATAATTATCTGAAACAACAACAATCATGAGGGGCCTAGGGCCTATTCTATGAAGCAGGTTCAACCTAAGTAGGTAGCCTTGGAGCTACCTCGCTCGACTTAGCGCGGTAGCCAGTGGTCTCGCTAAACGGTCTTTCGACACTGGTTATCAACCTCATAAGTGGATCCAGCTTTGCTATGAATGCGTGCACGCATGTAAGGCGGAGCCCGCCGCATCTGACCAATTGTGAACATGGACCAGTCTGGAGCGTCAGAGCAGGCCGGAGAGCGAAGAACCGCATACTTTACAAACGAGGAGCAGGAGATGATCATGAAAAAGTATGAAGAATTCAAATCTATCATAAACCTCAAAAGCAACACCGTTACTGCTGCAAAAGCACGGAAGGAATGCTGGCAGAAAATTGCCGACAGTCTCAATGCGGAAGTATAGTGTGCAAAAAATCTTTGATGCCATTATCACCCTGATATAGCACTGTTCAACATGCGCTTTTAACATGTACCAGACATGTCTAATTCATTTCCAACAACAATGATCATGATAATCTGAAACAACAATAACAATAATGTGAAACAACAACAAAGATCATTATAATAATCCAAAGCAACAACAACAATAATAATCTGAAACAACAACAATAACCATAATAATCCGAAACATCATTTACAACAACAATCATAATAATCTGAAACAACAACAATAATCATAATAATCTGAAATAACAACAAGAATCATAATAATAGTCTTAGACAACATCAACAATAATCTTAATAATCTGAAGAAACAACAACAATCATAATAATCTGAAACAACAACAAAAAACATTTATAATAATCTGAAACAGCAGCATCAATCATAATAACCTAAAACAACAACAATAATCATATTGATCTATAACAAAAACAACAATCATGGTAATCTGAAACAACAACAATCATTAATGATCTGAAACAACAACAATAACAATCATGATAATCTGAAACAAAAACAACAACAATTATCATAATAATCTGGGGCCTGTGTCATCAAAATAGGATTCAGATATCCAGGATAAGTGACTGAGCTGAGCTCAACGAATCCAAAACAAGAGCTTCCAGGCTTATTCGGTTGCATAAACGCTAATTCAGGATGAGAAGAAATGGATTCATGAAGCCAGCTGAAAGCTATCCTGGATAAGTGTGCGCACCTGGGGTCCGTTTCACGTAGGTGGTTCAACAAACTCTGAGTTAAATCCTTAACTCTGAGTTGATCTACTCTGAGTTAGGAAACTCTGAGTTTCCGGTTTCACAACACCTGATTTGAGACGGTTTTAACAACTCCGAGTAGTTTGACCTGGAGTTAAGCACGTGCACGCCAGACATAAACAGCCAGCATCTGTGGAGCGCAGATTCAATGATCAACCAATGGAAACAGGGAGAAGGAGGGGGCAGCAGCAAGCCAACAGCGAATGACAGCACGTTTTTAAAAGAAAGTGCAATACAGCAGCAGCTGCAAAGGAGAGGGAGAGGGCTTGGGAGGAAATCGCTGCTCGCGTCAATGCGTAACTTTAAATCTAGTCTCGTGCAAACACAATGACAGACTGTTGCAGGGAAACTGCTTGAATCATTTTGATCATGTTTTACATTGTCAAGTAAGTATTAAGTGGCAGTTTGATCCCTTAGAAAATGCTCTTTTCACACTCAAAAATGAATTTTACTGTCTTATGATGTTCCGTTAAATGATTAGGAATATTAAACTAACTCTCAGTATGTATATGTACATATATTAAACTAACACACACTACACTCAATATTAGACTTTCACTCAGCAAACAGAAAGAGGGCAGATGCCAGAAAAACGGGTGGTGGCCCAGCAGCCCCACCTTTAACGGAGGCAGAGGAGCTGCCCCCCCCCCTTAGACGATCGCAACCCCCACCCCGTAGCAGCGATCGTCGGACTGGTGTGTGTGTGTGTGTGTGTGTGTGTGTGTGTGTGTGTGTGTGTGTGTGTGTGTGTGTGTGTGTGTGTCTGTGGGGGGGGGCAGCTCCTCTGCCTCCGTTAAAGGTGGGGCTGCTGGACCACCACCCGTTTTTGTGTTAGTTTAATATTCCTAATCATTTAACGGAACATAATAAGAGAGTAAAATTCAGTTTTGAGTGTGAAAAGAGCATTTTTTAAGGGATCAAACTGCCACTTAATACTTACTTGACAATGTAAAACATGATCAAAATGAGAAAATGCCGATGTCTCACCTGAAACTCTGGGTTTACTGAGTTAAACCTGCTCCCGAGCAGGTTAGGTTCACGGAGTCTGTTACTGTGGTAACTGACCGCGAGGTTGAGTTACCTCTCTTTGTGAAACAGGTTAGAGTTACCCCTCTCTCCCTGGTTTAACTAACCCTCCTTTGTGAAACGGAAAACTCAGAGTTTCCCTGATTTCAGGGTTAACAAACTCGGAGTTTCCACTAAACCTGCTACGTGAAACGGACCCCTGGCTCCTCAAATAGACCCCCACGAATGCTGACCTATTCACCTATTCACCATGACAACCAGAGCTGCATACTTCTCCCCGTCGGAGCACAATATACTTATGGAAGCGTATGAAGAGGTAAATGATCAGATGGATTAAAAAAAAAAGGAAATACCGCCACTGCCATAAAACAGTGAGAAAAAGCATGGCAAAGTATTGCAGACCGTCTGAATACGTAAGTATTGCACAAATACACACTCACTACTCCTCTGAAACATCACAACTGCAATCCAAATAGTTAATTAACATCTCCAAAAACATAGTTGTAGCCTACTCTGATTATGACACAGTTGAAATTGCAAGTGAAGATGACTGCAGAGGGAAAGTTTGTAAATCCATGTTTGCTCCTCATGCTCCTCTTCTGTTTCATTCTTCATTAAAGCTGTCAAAATTAGTGACTTCATTTGAGTAAATTAATTTGTGGAATCAACTGAGTAGAATTTCTAATCATAATTTATTTTTTTTGGCCTATTAATGCAACAATTATCACAATAATCTGAAACAACAACAAAAATCATAATAATCTGAAACAACGACAACAGTCATAATAATCTAAAACAACAACAATATTCTTAATAATCTGAAACAACACCAATAATCATAATAATCTGAAATAACAACAACAGTATTCATAATAATAGCCTAAGACAACATCAACAACCACAATCACAAAAATCTAAAACAACAACAACAAAAATCATCATTATAATCTGAAACAACAACAGCAACAATCACAATACTCTGAAACAACACCAATAATCATAATAATCTGAAATAACAACAACAATCATAACAATAGTCTAAAAAAACAAAAACAAAAAAAATCTCAAACAACAGCAACAATCATAATAACCTGAAACAACAACAAAAATATTCATAATTATCTGAAATAACAACAACAATCATAATAACCTGAAACAACAGTAATCATGAAAATCTGAAACAACAACAACAATCATAATATTCTGAAGCAACAACAAAAAACATAATGATCTGAAACAACAGCAACAATCATAATAACCTTAAACAACAACGACAAAAATCATAATGATCTGAAACAACAACAATCATGATAATCTGAAACAACAACAACAATCATAAAAATCTGAAGCAACAACAAAAAACATAATGATCTGAAACAACAGCAACAATCATAATAACCTTAAACAACGACAAAAATCATAATGATCTGAAACAACAACAATCATGATAATCTGAAACAACAACAATTATCACAATAATCTGAAACAACGGCAACAACAAAAATCATAATAATCTGAAACAACGACAACAGTCATAATAATCTAAAACAACAACAATACTTTTAATAATCTGAAACAACACCAATAATAACAATAATCTGAAATAACAACAACAGTATTCATAATAATAGCCTGATACAACATCAACAACAACAATCACAATAATCTGAAACAAAAACAACAAAAACCATCATTATAATCTGAAACAACAACAGCAACAATCACAATTATCTGAAACAACAACATAATTCATCAAAATAATGTGAAACAACAACAACAATCATCAAAATAATCTGAAACAATGACAACAAAAATCATA